CTCAGACAATGCCATTCAGAGATCTATCTTCCAAATTTCCCAAGAAAATAGAGAACTGCTAAATGGCAAAAACATAGCTTTGTAACCTCACACATACCAAGATATCTGGATGCACATTCGGCTTGTTACTGCACTACATATGTCTATTGTATTTAAGCGGGGTACATACAGGAACACTGCAGAATGCCGACACATTGACCATTTACCAGTACTTAAAGTCCCTTGGAGTCATTACCATACGAGTAAGCAATGTTAAATTCTGCAGTATTCCTGTATGTACCCTGGTTAAGTGCAATAACAAAATCTTTGAAGCAAGCTCCAGTGAGTGCCGAATCCATTTCCGGAGTGAGGAATAAGCATGAAGAAGGTAATTTGGGAATAAACTGACCCGATTTAGGCTCCAAGACTTAAATGTGTCCTTATCTGTACATAGCACTGTTTAGTTGACAACATTATAGACATTAAAAGTGATTAGCTCTCACATTACTATAATATTTGAAAGTAGAAAGTAGGGATGCACCGATACAAGCACCGGTATCGGCGGCGATACCGAGTATTTGCATGAGTACTCGTACTCGTGCAAATACTCCAATATATTATTCGAGTACCCGTGCCGCGTCCGCCATCTTCAGGGACCCAGATCCGCCGCACACAGGACCTCCATCGCGTCTTCAATGAAGCAAGATGGCCGCGACCTCCTCTGTCATCTGCTCCATTCTGACCTCTTCTCCCGCTGATTGGCCGATTGGATGATTGACAGGCTTCCTCACCAGTCACTTCTGGCTTTATAAAGCATACCTGGCTTTATATTATAAGAACTTTATAATATAAAGCCAGGTATGCAGAATTGGATATAGCTGTGCCACACTACAGAGTGTTCATGTTCTTCATAATATTAAGAAACTGACCTAAAATCATGATTTTGTATTGCTTTAGAAAAAATGTGACCTGTCCCTTTAAGAAAAAGTATCAGTAATTGGTATCGGCGAGTACTTGAAAAAAAGTATCGGAACTCGTACTCGGCCTTAAAAAAGTGGTATCGGTGCATCCCTAGTAGAAAGGCATAGGCTTGAAATTGCCCCTCAAGCCCTACATCTACTTTAAGTTTAAGCCTTCTACATATGGACGCATTGCTGTTTCACATACTGACAAATGTATGTCTTTTAGCCAAGATTCTACTTTGGATTCTTCTGAATTCAGTGGATAGAGCAACAAGGCAAAATGGAGTGCAACTGTTTGGGGTGCCTGAGCTTAGCCATCAGACCTCATTACTGGAACCCCAGAGATATGCTTGAAGCCAGTATGTGCATTATCTTTCCACCCAACATACCTTCATCATGGCAAACAAAACACATTTCACATACCTGGTGTAGCAGGAGGACAAGCTAAAAATATACTTGAGTGAGCACTGAACAGCTGCAACAAAAATTACAGCAAATACTGCAAAATACTGCACTATATTAATAAAACATTGTGGCCATTCACAAAACCTTTGTTGCCTGTTGCCTGTTGCCTATAGAAACCAAACTTCTGAATTAATTTTTCCCGTTTACATAATCCAACTAAATAAAACTGGTTGTTCGCTTATTTATCCTGGCTTTAGTTAGAAATCAGCCTGAACATGTTATAAATGTAGGACAGGGTGGTGACAGTGCCAATCATTTCTTTTTCTGCTCTAGCTTTTAAGGGCCTCTGAAAAGATATAGACATCTTAAACCACAGTATCAAAATATGAAAAACATTTTTTTAAAAAAGGTAATGTATAGAGAAGTCAGAAACAAAAAACACAACCATTCACTCCACAACACATAGAAATTGCAAAAAATACTGACACAATCCTCTTCCAAATGGAAAATCATAGAAAATACAAATGTGAGCTATAAGTAGGTTTTCCAATATAATGTAGCATCTCTGCTATCATTAAGTATGCTGGAAATAACTCCGTGCTTAACAAATGAAGGCACAGATTACAAAGCAAGAAAACAAGCTTGATTACAGCGTTCACCTCAGCCAGCTAAATACAGCATTAGTAGTCAATGATTTCACCTTAAGGTCATATTGACAGCTTAAACTCATGACTGGAGATTTTGCCATCACTTTTCCTGTATGCGCTCAGCACTACAATTTTGAATACATTATTGAGTGGTATTATGTTTATGTCTACAATTAATCCACTGAAGTCACTTCCAAAGTCACCTGCGAAGGGCAAACAAAGTCCTGTAATAAGCAATACTGAACTGGGGAAGAAAGGGCCATAATGGTTTGTATTAACTCCTTGTTATCACTGAAAGGCATTTTACCCTTCAACAATCTACAGTTCTGAAGAAAAAAAAACTGAGACAGATAGACTTTATGAAAAGTTGTCCTGCCATTACACTATATATTTTATCCAGTTAAATGAAGACAATGGTCATACTTTGAGGATGGATTTCTTTCTGCTGATGGAACTGTTCTTTGCTGATGAACATTCGCCAATGTGTTAAGCTTAATGTCCACATATCAAAAAAAAAAAAAGAAGAAACCTTAGAGTTCATTGCTGATATTTATATAGCCTCAATATATTATACAAATCATTACATGTTACAATTTATGCTACACTCTGCCCCACTGTAGCCTAAAGTGTATGCATAGCCAAAGCTTTTTTAGTTTTGGACAGTTGGGAAGGATTAGAAACCCCTGTAGTGTTGTCTGTGTCCCCAGTGGATAGACTCACCCTCACCCACAGACACAGAAAGTGATGGGAAATCTAAAATTTTACAGCTGTCCCCAGAACAAAGTTTTATAGCTTTCAAAAAGGACAAGCATTCCAGCGACTGTTTATCAAACGCATTTTTTTGGAGGAAATTGGAGGAGAACCAAGTGAACACAGGGAACATACAAACTCTATGCAAGTGACTGGATGACAGAATTAAAGACAATGTTAACCCTAAAATATTAAGTTATGCATTCCTTATGTAATAAACTATTTTTTACCTGGTGACCCTGCCATTCCCCTCTTTTCCAGTAACAAACTGACCATGCCAAGCATTGAAGCAAATCTGTGCTGGCGTGGTCAGTTTGCTTCCCTGAGCTTGCTGATCGGTATTACAGGATGTTGTGCCATGACTGTAGATCAAGAGGACCTTTGTGCTTCACACTTCATATTGCTGAAAAATTTCAACTCAAGGCTTTTTTATTCATCTGGCAGTTGTGATATAATCTATTTGACTTATTGCCCATGTGTATTGGCGTATATAAGCCAGAAATCAAAAATGGTTACACCACACTTGACTGAGCATCGGAACACCATTTGGATGTATAAGCCCCAAGAAGAGAGTTCATAGACAGGGCTAGCTGAAATAGTTAAAATAAAAGGCTGGAGATAAAAGGCTAACCCTTTATCTCCAGGAAAGTTAAAGAGGAAAATGCAGCCTTGACGTTTGTGACCTGAAACAGAGGTGCATGGAAGAGAAATGTTTTGGATTATTAAACAGGATACTTTGAAACCAACAAGTTTAAATTGATGAGTTTGTGTGTTTGTTGCGGTTCGTACTAAACAGGGCTTCTTTACATCTCGTATTGCACTCCTATTATTATAGTTTAACATTTTAGAGATTAATTGTCTCATTCATGATTCTATGTTAAAAAAAAAAAAAGAAGTGGTGGATATCCTCACTATGACTGAGCACCCGACAAAGATCATACAGGTCCAAAATGCTGCGCTGTGGATTGTATAATAAATGGATCTTCTGCATTATACTGTTGAACATAAGCCTGTTTTTCTCACTGGCATTGGAGCCAGATACTTATCTTTTGGTCCAATTACAGGTGAAACTCGAATAATTAGAATATCGTGCAAAAGTAATTGCAGTAAGTGCTGCAAAAGGGGCCCAAACCAAGTACTGAGTACATATGCATGCTTGTACTTTTCAGAGGTCCGATATTGTTCTATGTACAATCCTTGTTTTATTGATTGCATGTAATAATCTACTTTTTTGAGGTTGTGGATTTGGGGTTCTTGGGGTTTTCATGAGCTGTAAGCCATAATCATCACAATTATGACAAATCACGGCTTGAATTATCTTGCTTTGCATGTAATGAGTCTCTCTCATATATTAGTTTCACCTTTTAAGTTGCATTAGTGAAATAAATGAACTTTGCACGATATTCTAATTATTCGAGTTTCACCTGTACATTCATGTGAAAAGAACCCATTCTCTTAACAGGTTACATAGACTTCCACCTCAGTGCTAGAGACATTACTAAGTACTAAACAAAAATATTCAGGTATACGATCATTTTTTATCACTTTAGTCTGGACAATCCAGGGGGCCTTGTACAATGATATGCTTTATGGAAAACTTTGGTAACAAACAACTTTTTCTTGTTAAGCAAAAATGTAAACTTGACATATTATTGATTCAAATAGAACAATAATCACTGCTGTACTGTGCAACATTAGTGAAAAAAAGGGCCATATAATAAATTTATGAACTACAAGAAATGAGAGCCCAGCACAATACGTTTCGGTGAACCAAACTGTGATGGAGAAAAATTTGTGATAATGAATAAAACTGAATTCGGTGTACACATTTGTTCTTACCAATCAGTGACAGACAAAAATATCAAACCGCATACAGGAAAGGGAAAGAAATATCATCACAGAAATTAGGTGGATTTAGCTGGTAGTAAATGAGTAGCATTCTTTCCTAAACGAAACCATGGAGAGTCCAATTAGGCTTCTTTTGAATTACAATCATTTAAAATGTTACAGGGGATCTACACAAAAAGGCTGTCCTGAGGTCACCTGTGTTCACCTGCCAGTCTTCAGCAACCTGACAAGAAACGAGCATGGCTTCCTCAATGATATATTATTAGTCTACCAACTTGCAATCAGTGGAAACTGAGCAAAACACTAACAGCCCGATATGCTGAGATTGTAAACTTGTAATTTTACAATGCAGGTTTCATGAAGCACAGCAGGATAACAAACGTTTGTCTGAGTCAAATCATCAACTTACCAGCTTGGCCATTTTTCCGTAATCAATCCATCTGACTGAAGCAAAATTTGTTGATTCGGCACAGTTGAAGCCATGATTGAAACCGGCATGATACCCATATGGGAAAGTGATCATAAATTCACCAGCTTCTTGTGTAACCTGCAGGGGAGAATCAAAAAGCAAGACGAACTGTAAAAAGAAAAGGAAAATGAACGTCTAACAGAGATATCAAAGCAGGAAAAGAGAAAAAGAAGGAAATATGACCCGTGTTGAAATAAGAACAAGCTCAAAACTGGAACTTTTCAAGAGCAAAGCAAAGTCTAGAAAAATGTTGAAATTCCAACTGATATTCCTGGTTGTTACAATACCAAGAAGTGTTACTTAACTAGCACTGCAACTAACCATTAGTTTCATAATCGATTAGTTGTCCTTTTCACTTCACAGCTGAATGTAAACACAGTAGGCAGTGGCTGGGAGCAATAGCCAGCCTTCTATTGGCTATTTTAAATTGCAATAGCAGGTTGGCTATTGCACCCACCCATTTCCTGCTGTCAATCAGCAGAGGAGGGATCTGAAGGAGACAGTGTAAAGGTATACCGTATTTCACACTCCATAAGACGCACTTTTTCCCCCCCAAAAGGCGGGCAAAAATGTCCGTGCGTCTTATGGAGCGAATATTCCCCCAGCTGTCACACACACACATGCATTCAGCGGCTCCCGAAGGGTGGTGTGTGTGAGAGCTGAGGCGCCTGGGGGCTGACAGTGTACCCAGTCCAAGCGCTAGTGCAAGGCAGCACAGTCTGTGCCCATCCCATTCTCTCCGCTGCAGCCTCACAGACTGTCAGTGGTTTCTCCTTACAGTCTGTAATCGGCTGCAGCGATCTGTGTCAGTGGGGACAGGCAGCCGATTACAGACTGTAAGGAGAAACCTCCCACAGTCTGTGAGCTTCCTCACAGTGCCGTCTACTCACCCCTCTGCGGCGTTCGCGATCCTCTACTGTCCGCGCAATGGTTGTCCATTTCAGCAGCTGACCGCAATAGCCAACCTGTTATTGGCTCTTTGAAATTGCAGTAGCCAATAACAGGCTGGCTATTGCACCCGCCCACTGCCTGGTATCAACAGAGGTGGACTTGATGGAGAACTTCAGGTCCCTCCTCTGCTGATTGACAGCAGGCAGTGGGCGGGTGCAGAAGCCAGCCTGATAAAAATTAAATAAATAAAAATGTAAAAAAAAAATAAAAAATAAAGTTAAATTACAAAATGTTAAATACAAAACAATAGAAAAAGTAAAAAACAAAATATAAAGTTAAACTAAAATTAAAAATCCCCCTAAAATTAAAGTCCCCAGAGCCACGCACAGCCGCACAACAAAAAAAGCTGCCTTTTTTTCCCTCTAAACCACGGTGCATCTTATGGTCAGGTGCATCTTATGGAGCGAAAAATACGGTAAGTTCTAAAGGAAAGCTGTACTGAAAGAATATTATGGCCACTAGTGTTAACCTCTCCTCCCATAAATGTTAAAAGCCTGCAAAGCTGAGCCACCTTGTGAGCATACAGCTGATTGAGTAAATGAGAAGACTACCACAAGTAAGTCCTCAAGCAAGCTTACACCGGTAGTCACAGTGCTTGTCCCACTGATTACCAATGAAATGAAAGGACAGTTTGGTAAAAGTGGGAGGGGAGGGAAGCATTAACCACTAATGCATTCAAAAGGTGTTTTAGTGGAGGCGCTATAAGGAACCACTGATCAGTAATGCAATAAAAGAGGGCTTTTATGGGAAAGGCGTGAGGGACCATGGGCAATAAATGTTAAAGGGGCAATCACAGGCTAATAATGACCACTAATGTGGAAGACCGACCCTGACAAAGTCGTCATATGAAATGCGTAGGAAGGGCTACAGCACTGTGACACCATCATGCATTGGGACTGACAAACGCACACAAGGAACTGGTAGGGTTATTCACAAAAGGGTGAAGAGTTTGGAGAAGTGAACAAGGCAGGAGAAGTGAACAATCTAGGAAAAAATAGCTGATTTGGAAATATTCTCCAATTCAGCTCACTTTCCAGTTCAGCTATGTTGTCCTGGATTGTTCACTTCTGCCTTTTCCATTGCATCGTAAGTGATTTACGGTTGGGTTTTAATTCTCAAAAAAACTGTTTGGCACTATGATGGTCTCCTAATTCTGCTTTGTTTGAAATGCCATCAGCGTGGAGCCTGTCCTGATAATCCTGTGGGAGGGAATGAGACCTGTGTTAAGCAATGGTTTATCATTTGAAACTATTTACCACTGTCCGCCCGCCTGTTGCAATTAAATGGCCAGATGGTGCACCTCCCAGGGTGGGTCACAGCATTTTTTTTATATGCTGGTCCACACCCCCTAGCTTGCGCACCAGAATAGTACCTGTTTCACACTGTCAATGGACAGTACAGATCTCAAAAAATGCCAGTGCCATCAGGAACCAGTGCCTGTACAGCCAGTAACCATGTCATTCAGTCCCAGTGCCTGTAAAGCCAGTGTCAGGGTTTTCCAGTACATGTACCAGCCCAAACCAGTTCCTAATTACTACCAGTACCAGCAAGAGCCAGTTCATATACAGCCAGTACCAGCTCCAAATTACTACCAGTGTAAGTTAGCACCAGTGCCAGATTCCAAGTACAGGTACAAGAAAAGCACAGCCACTGTCCCAATTGCCAAAAAATGTACAGTAGTGAGGAGGCACAAAACTCCTAGCATGAATGATGAGAGCAGTGGACCTCACAGTCTCATGCAATTTCAGAATTTGAACAGCCAAGTGAAATGCTCAAGGCAAGAACCAGCAGTGCAGTACATCCTACTGAAGTGCATGAGACAAGTACTAGCAGTGGGTGTTGCACTCAGCAATGCAGAGGTAGGGCAACACTATCCCAAAGATCCCATACTAGTGTCAGAGAGGCACTTTGAAATCCCTATAATTCAGTAGCGCCTGTCATCATTTCTCAGTCTGACTTTAAACATAGAAATCACCCAAAAAAAAAAAAAACTGCTGTCAAATTGGTGAGATAGATAGGGTTGCCTGACTTGGAATCAGGTTTACCTCACAATTGGGGATCCAACCAAGTAGGTTTGTAGTCGTTTGCACCTTCGTTAAATGAGATGAACAGAAACCTGCAAACAGCAGGAAGTCATACAGGTAAGGGACGATGCCTTTACCCCGATTCCTTAGGATCACTATTATCTGTGTCAATCATTTTGGTAAAAATCCTTGGAGACTAAGCCAGCCCAAAGGGGAGGGCCTGAAATTAGAACTTATATATGCTTTAGAGCTGCAGCTAACGATTATTTTCAAAATCGATTAGTTAGCCGATTATTAAGTTCGATTAATCGGTTAATCGGATAAACAATAAAATACATTTAAAAAAATGGCTCCAGTGAAGGGACTACTAGTTTGTATTGAGGTTGTAGTCCATCACAGGAGCAAGCTTGGAGCGGTGGAAGTAAAAAAGAAAAAAAATAGTGTGGTGTGCAAAATAGTGAAATGGAAAGTGTAAATTATTGAGTCTTCCACTGCAAAGTGTAGAAACTGCTGATGTTATTTTCTATGGAAACTTGTAGACAGGCATACTTGATGTCTAAGTTTACCATGAAAGTATCCTTAGGAAGGATTCCGATGATGTACGTAGATTGTGTTCCATTCGAAACCATCTGTGCATCACCACCTTGTTTAGCTTCTTTAAACTGATGAGAGGGAATTTCCCAAATAGCTTGTGCTGGACAATGTGTGAATAGAAACCCTTCCCCTTCCGGTCTTCAGCAATGTAAGTAATGGGACCTCTGCTAAAGAAGTTATCCCATAGCCTGGCTCATGACCAAAAATGTTAAACATTTGTCCAAGAACTCTTTATTCTTGTTGGTGAAGCTTTCTAGAATTTTTCCTGGCTGTGGTTAGAAAAATAGCTTTCTAACAAATGGTAAGCTGCACAGCTTGCTCCTGAAATTCCCTTGGTAGAATTGTCCTTTGGCCTCCTCTAACCACCCCCGTGCAGACAATGCTGAACTGATTTAGATTGAGCTTGCTTTAGAATATGTTCCATTGAATGTCAAAAAACATGTTTCTTGTAGAAGAGATTCAGCTTGTTCACTTTTGCTTCAGTATCCTTATCTTTTGAATCTGACGGGGCTGAGAAGTCTTCTCTCTCTTTCATGCCTGAGAGAGCTTCCGACTCCTAGTCCTTTACCTCTGGCCTCTGGGATACTTGGGGGTCTTTGAGATCGGATGCTGTTGGTACTGGAGATAAGTGTTTAAATTCCTCTAATACAGAGCTAAAGAATTGGAAGGTGGAAGTAATCTCTTGTTTTAAGCTTCACTTCAGGTTCTTCGACAAAGCTGAAGTCTCTGCTCTACTACTTTGTCTAAAACAATTATATAAATGTTTCTTCCATGAGGTAAGCAAGCCTGGTACCCTAATTCCAACATTGTTTCTTAACGCCTGAAGGTGGTTTGTCCTGAGTTTTCATCTATAACACATGGGGGATAAGAGGGTACAGTCACCACTATGGTTACAACGTAAGGGGGAAAGACGAGGGGGGATGAAGGTTACAGCCACACCATCAAAATCTGTGAACTAGGGCTGTGCAAATTAACGATTAATTTCTCGATTAATCATTAATCTTTTTGATTGATTATTTTTTTTTTTAAACTGCACGAGCGCCAGCCAAGGCATTGGTCTATACACATACAACACAGCAATGAAGTCATACAATGAACTAGGATCACACTAATCCAGCACATTATTATTCTGAGTTGCCCCACGTGAGATTAATAACGTGCTGGATTAGTGTGATCCTAGTTAAATTTTATTACTTCATTGCTGTGCTTTATGTGTATAGGCCAATGTAGTTGGATCTGTATGTGCATTATAATTAATTGAAATTAATCAATTAAAAAAAATTTTGATTAATTGAACACAAAAATTTTAATCATTACCAGCCCTACTGTGAACATATTCCAACTTGCCAAGAGGGGGGGCCACATAAGCAAATGCACAAGCCCTGCTACCAGACCCCTAGAAAGCAAAAGGGAGAGAAAGAACCACAGCTATACTCACCACTGAAAGACTGATGCCTCAACCTTTCTGTCTTCCATGGGGCAGCTAATAATGAAGTGCTCTGACCAGTG